CTTAACTTTAACTCATCTTAACTTAAAAACTTACTCCACCTGAGCTCACCACACATTAATTCACCACACTTTAACTCCCCACACCTAAATTCACCACACCTCAACTCGCCACACCTTAACCCCCGCACCTAAATCCACCATACCTAAATCCTCCACCCTTAATTCACCACACCTCAACTTTCTCACCACACCTTAACTCACCTCAACTCACCACACCAAAATTCACCACACCTTAATTCTACACACCTCAACTTTCTCACCATAACTTAACTCACCACACCTAAATTCACCACACCGTAACTCCTACACCCAATTCCACCACACCGCAGCTCACCACACCCAATTTCACCACATGACATGACATCACTTGATGTGGCATCAAAGGCAACATCATTTGGCATAAAATGAACCAAAATAAATAAGATTTAGATAGAGGTGAAAAAAGGGATAAAAAGGAAATACAACTGAAGAGTGTGCGATGTTATATTGTGGTTATGTTATGTTATGCCAAGTACTAAGCTAAACTCCCCTCCACTTAACCCATTCCAACTAATGTTATTTTAGCTCATTCAACTTACATAAACTATCCTTAATTTTATCGGTTGAATTTCAACCGCTGGGCGAACACTAGTAAAAATAAAAATTCCAGCATATGTTCTATGGAAGGAAATGTGCAAAACCTTCATAAAAAAATCAACGGTAAGCCTTAGCTACCTCAAACTTGAACTACATATACCTACTTACGGTGACCATATTTCTGTGGACAAAAATCGGGATATTTCTAACGCATCGTATCCGAACATACAATTTTGTTTTAAGAATAAAAAGGCATAACATCTTTTAATACAGCCCATAGGTGGAATACAAATTTTCGGGTGAATTTTTTTCTGGCGAAACTCAGGATAAGGTAGAATATTTTTTTTAAGTTTACGAAAAGTGGTGTTATTAAACCTAGGATAACTTAGAGTAGAATGCTTACCTGCGGCATTACGAACTCCTTTTGAACAAATAGAGTGTGAACCAAGCCACAAAAAAGATAGGCAACAGCAAAACGTTGTAGCACGCCCATTATGCGTAGATCTTTCATTTGTGGACCATTTATGGAGTTGAGGCATATGCCTATGACGAATAACTTAAACGAACGCTAAAAATATATGTACATACATATTTTGCAATTTTTATTATATATCGTTACCTTAATGTACAAAGGCCCTATCTCACGTGGTCGCTACACTGCAAAAAAAGCAGTAACTAACTAAAATTTTGTATTGCATAAAGCGATGTGGGAACTTGTAATTCGATGAAATGCATCATAATCAATCAAAAAGTGAATTTTTTTAATTTTTAGTTAGTTAAGGCTTTTTCTATATTAGAGTAACGAAATGCTGCAACAAAAACTAAATTTTGAAAAAAACTGGCATCTTTTCACCTTTAGATAGCGACATGTTTTATAACGGTTAAGGATAATCTTAGTTTACAATGAACTATGTCGGTAAGGCAACATGTGTGTGTGTGTGTAACTTACTAAGGGGTTTTACAACAATGCTTTGCAATATTAATGTAGACAAGCACCCCTTGACTCACCCAAACAATTCGCCTACATATGCTAGCCTTTGGCGTACCTCGAGCCACTTGTGACTTCACCGAAATCGGTATACAAACTCCCATTATCCAAAGGAATGAGGGGAAAACTACATCAGCCAAGTGCAGACCATTCCATGGTGCATGTTCGATCCACCAATAACCACCACCACCGCTATTGACAAATATCATCAATACTATGGCCATGCTGGAATAAAAAGAATGAAAGAGTTATAAAAAAGAGAATGCGGACCCCTGAGTGGAAGTACGACTCATCTCGGCAGCCAGTGCGAAAACTCCATATCTCAGAAAACTTTTCAAGAACGTCCTACTTTAGTATTTGAATGAAAAACACCCTATCTCAGCTCATTTTCAATGCATTCTCAGCTGAGATAGGGCGTTTTTGAATCGGCAGCTGAGATAGAGCGTTACGGTCCAGACATGTGGAGGCTCCCCGCACGACACCAACCACTCAACTAACATCCTTTGGCCCGTTTCTTGGGCCTACCATTATCTGAGCTTGACGACAATGATTGATGGATGAACCGAAATAGGCGGGCCTTAGTAGTGCCGCTACAACAACAACATAGCCGCGTTCTTCAACCAAATTCCGAGATAGGCTGTTGTTTCATTCAAAATCTGAAATAGGGCGTTCGTCAATCAAATTCTGAAGTAGGACGTTTTCGAACTGGCTGCCACTTCACTCCGGTATCGATATATAAATGTAAAGTAATTGATTATCATATGTATACCCTCGAAAAGCATCTAGGCTACGCATTCGATTACTCGGCTGCTCAGGCATAACATTGGCGCCAGCTTCCTGCTCCGGGATGAAGGTGTACGAACGCCAGACACACCAGGATGTGCGTATAACCGTCAACAACATAGTGACTAAAATAAATACCGATGCGAACGCTAAAAAGCAAGATTTTCAGTTTAAAATAATATTTTACGAGTAAATAAAAATAAAATAATGAAAAGTGTTAAATTTTAAAAATATCAAGACCTATCCGCCAAAAAGACGTAAGCGAAATTTTTTCAAAATTTTATTTTTGATGCAGAAATGCCTCTAGATGTTCTAGGAACAATTTCAGCATCAAAAATAAAATTTTGAAAGAAAAAGTCACATCTTTTTGGCGGTAAGGTCTTCGTATTTTCTTTGTACGCTTACACAAATTCACATTAACGCCTGCCTTGTCTGTTATAAGCTCGCAGCTACCATTTGCTCGTAGCGTAAAATTATAGACTCCAAACTCTTGCAGCATTGTCGCGGGCGAATACAATTTGCAAACACTGTCGCAGATCGTGTCATTGCATTGCCTGAGGAAAGAAAGCGACTGTTGGTTATTTTTTTTTTTCGAAACAATAAATGTTCAAATTTACATATCATTGTTGGTCGTCAGCTCCACATCTTTGCCAAACACTTTAAATTCCCAACCTCTTGCGACATTTAATTTAAACGTAAAATTTTGCATTGATTTCACATAGCTGTAGGAACACTGGTGAAAAAAATAAAAAGAATTAGTCGAAATAATTGCATAGTTAGTATTTTGAGTTAATTTTATATATATCCATACATACATACAGAATTTTTCACTCACCGTATAACATTCTTCCGAACGACTGTAAAGATAAGCTGGCTTTTCGTAATGAGACTTAACTACCATGTAGGCTTCATCGACCTTCAGTTCTCGCATATTTAAGCCACGCCAAAGTGGCTCAATATATTCCACGAATTGAGACATGATGTGTTACTAAAAACTGAAGCGGTCTATATAAAAATGTTAAATATGCATGCAAACTCTGAAATTTTCTACATCAATTCCCAAAAAATTATGTAAAGTACGGAGAAAACCTTGAAAAGTTCGGAAAAATTACAAATAATTTTTGTCAAAACAAAACTAACCTAATATTTTTTCTTTCCCCAACCGTTTAGTTAGTATTTAGAAATCTACTTAGTATTTAGGTATATCTGAATACATATACATACATCCCAGAAGATAATTTTGGAAGGCCTTCTTAGGTGAAGCCATTCTAAGAGGCCTACTCAAAAAGGGCTGAAAAAAGTACTTCCTTGCATGCCTTCTAGAAGGCCTTATTCATTTACAATTTACGCGAATGCATACATTTATATTATTTACCATTAGAAATGAATTTAAATAAACATTTTAAGTTGCAATAACACATATTTGATATAAACCGCAAGCAAAAATACTTCAAAGATGTATGATTTTTATAAATTAAAGAAGCAACTTTAAAAGAACTCCTCCAAAAGGCCTTCTGAAGTAGGTTCTATAAAAGCCCTTCTGGAAGGCGTTCTGTGGGTAGCGAAAGAAGAAGCACTTCAATTTGTGCCATTCCATAAAAAAAAAGAAAGAAGAAAGGAATGTAGAGTGGAAGGCCTCTTGACTCTCAGAAAGGCCTATCGGAAGGGCTTTTAACTCCTGAAATTATCTACTGGGATACATGTATATATATGGTTATTTCGTTTTCAAACGGGTACTTTTAATACAAAAGTAAGTAATTATGCATCTCTTGTATTTGCATAATAGGGATGTGCGATTAATCGGTTAATTAGTTTTTTGATTACATACTTCGAAAACCCCTAATATTTTTATTAGTAATACGTTTACCCAAGTCGTTGTTATATATGTGGTTACATACATATGTACATAAGAACTAGAGAAACAGCGAAGCAAAACTGCTTGCAGCAGTGGCAGGTTCGTTGGACCCGTTCGACTAGTGGACGTTGGACATATAAACTCATTCCGAGCATTCAAGCAAATTGCTTGACAGGCGACATGGAGAAGTGGATTTCCACCTAACTCAATATATACTTATGTACATACGCGGCTGATCCCTACTGCACGGTCTGTACTGAAAAGGTAATCGAGGACGCAGAACATTGTTTTTTCGTTTGTTCGAGATTCGCAACCGAAAGGGATTACATGAGCAGGAAGGTGGGGAGGCCACTTATGGTTGACAACCTTGTGGGTATCATCCTTGAGTCAATCGAAAATTGGTCCGATGTTTGCCATGTGGCACGCACCATTCTCAGGAAATTGCGCCAAGCGCAACAGTTCCGCAGATATTCATAAAAAGGCCGCTCCTCCTCGGAGTAAGAGCGGTTTGGAACCTCGGCCGTCCCAACCGCCAAACCTGGGTGTCTTTGAACCTCGTGCACGCGATGAGTAGGGGCGGATTGGAGCCTCGGCCATGCCAACCACCAAAATAGTGCGACTTTGAACCCTGTGCACTTGGAGCGTAAAAGCAGATTGGAACCCCCGCCGTTCCAACCGCCAAAGCAGTGCGATTTTGACCTCGCGTAGGAGCGGACTGGAACCTTGACCGTTCCAACCGACGAGATAGTGGGGCTTTGAAATTCGTGCAACCGAAGCGGCACGCGGATTGGAAACTACGCCGTTCCAGCCGTCTAAGCAATGGGCCATAAGTCTAAAATAACCATTCGTATACCGAACGTAAGAGCTACGATAGCCGCGTACCTCCGGATACCAATGTGGGTAAGTTGTCAACATGGGGAAGTGGATTTCCTCCTGACCCAAATATTTACGAGGCATAGTTGCTTCAAATCACATTTATTTGAACCCATTTGAGCATAATGACGATCACAAAGGATAGTACCTACTGAAGACGCTAAACCCGTTTTGCAATCAAAGGGATCACTCGAGCATAAAGGTGGGGTGGCCACTTGCAGTTAATGACCTCGTGGATGCTATGCCTGAGTCGGAAGAAAATTGGTCCGTTGTCTGCAATTTGGCAAACACAATTTGAACTTAATTTAATCCGCAGTTTTTCATAGAAAGGCAATAGGGGACCTTTCCCTCCGTGCAACAATACCTTACGGTAGTTCCACGGTGGGTGGGAAACGGAGGGGTGGTTTTTTAGTGCTGTGAGCCGAAAGGCAAGTCCCACACTTCTCGGCTTTCAACGCTTTGTGCGACCTCTTCAAAAAAAAAAAAACATAAATAAGTATGCATTTATGTAGCTCTTTGAAATGAAAAAATACGTGTATAAATTTGTTTCTAGTTTTAAATAAACTAAAATATAATGACAGCAATTATTCAAGTTTTTGATTAATCAGGTTCTTATTAATTTGTTTTCCGACTAATCAAATTATTTATAACTTAGAAATCAAAACGTAATTAAGCGGGAAAAATAATCAAAAGTAATTACACTGGTCTACAAGGGTTTTGCGAATAAGACGGGACCTGGTGTTTCCGAACGGATTTTTCGTGCTGAACACGAATCTGGGGTCCAAAACTTCCCATCACGTCACGTTTTCGAGAAAAAAGGGGTTGAAACCCCTAAAAACAGCGTTTTTGGCCATTTTTGA